GAACCGAGGAGCATGTTCCTTTGAGTCATTACCATGATAAGGGACATGATTGGTGATACATTGCTTGAATTGTATTGCCATGCTCTGCCTTGCCCTCTGTTGCTGTCAATTGCAGATTCTGCAGGAGCTTTCTGCCGACCGGCAGTGCTAAGTGCCGACCGACAATCCTCTTCTGCCGATAGCTTCACCAATGGCCGGTGATTACATGCCACTGCCGGTGGGCATTCTACCCAGCCGATTGCATTCCCAATATCCAGAGAAGCAATCCTGAGGTTTTGGCAGCCTTCAGAGGAGTAAAGAAAGGAAAACAGAGGCAGCCTATGCATAGCGGTACACTTCCGAGCAGGACCGAGCATGCATTGCATCGAGCTCTCCTCCCGAGGCGATTTATCTGTTTTCCCGAGATTAGTTAATTTGCTTAGCTAATTAGATGGTCTGTAATATTTAATTAGCTTGTAGGTTAATTATTTGTAATATTCTTTCGGTCCCTCCGAGCGAGGGCAAATTTGTAATAAGTGTGGGTGAGTGTGTGTATGTCTTCCAACCCCTCGTCTTTCTTCCCTTTTATTTACCTGCTTATGATGGTAAACTAGGGCATATTTAAAATTAGCATACCTTATGCTATGCATGCGTGCATTCATGCATTTGCTTTGCATGCACCGGGCTCGGCGCATCATGCTAACTGCATTTGTACTTCAATTCCAAATTGAATACGTGCATCAATTGATCGCATTTCACATGCCATGCTTAGGTTAGCCGAGCCTACTTTGATTGCATCCTGTATGTGTTACATTAGGCAATTTGACATGAACTAGGACCATGCATGTTGGCTAACTAGTTTATTGTTTTGGCACGGAGTACGATGTAAGTATTTATGCTTTAGCATCCCGCATGCGTGTGAGTGTTGCCATGACAGTATGTTTGCCATGCGGCTAAATGCTTATGTGATAAATTGTTTGAATGCCTGTGGGTGAAGGTTGGACTGCCTGAGTTGGAAAAACTCGTTGAAATCCGTGTTTTAGCCTACTTGCGAGTAGCAAATTCCAAAGTGTTTTCCAAAACAAACGGATATGCGATGTTTATTTCCAAATTGGGCAATCTAGTCTATACTTGTTTGCTGTGGGCATAACATAGTAATGCTAGGCTAATAAATGGAATAAGAACACATAACGTTTTCAAAAACGGATATCACGGTTAGTAGAGGCCGATCTTCGGATCGGGCGAGAGGGGGTGCTCATAGCTGACCTTCCCCAATCGTACCTAAGCTCCCGAGCCGAGGCAACTTTGGCAATGACGAACACGTGGCCTTTGGCACCGAGTCAGGGTTTCCTAAATTTTCCCATTAAAAAATATTTAGGTGGCGACTCTATATCTGGCAAAGCAGTCCATGTTTGGCACTTCTTTCAAAAAATCTGTTTTTCTCAAAACGATTTGCCGAATTTGGACTCTTTGGTTCAGATTAGGAGCCGTGACAATTCGAGAGTCCGAACTGTAGTGAGCCCAAATGAACAGAACGGGACTCATCCTCCCGGGGCGTTCGGGGACGTCTACACGCACGCACCTTGCGCACAACCTAATGGACAAACTTTAAAGGGTAAATACCTTTGCAAAATGAAAACGATTGAAAAGTAGGACTCCGTGGATTAAAATTAGAGTTTTGCTATATTTCTCCATTTCAACACCTTTAATTATATTTCTAATGACATAATAAGGAAGTAAAGTCTCAAATAATTAAATGTGTGACAAATTAAAAGTTGATACCTATTATTCTACTGGGGTGAAATTGTGAAGGTTTATTAGGGGTCTTAAATATCTTCCAAACTAAATGAATACTGTGAGAGGCTAAAATAAATCCAGCCCAGGCAGGACTAGAATTCCTGGACAGGATGATATAGTGCAAAGACAACTTTACAAAAGGGAAAGAGATTCAGCCCTAGATGGACTGAGTCTAGTGCGAGGGTCCAGGAGCAAGATGGATCATGAGAGTCTGAGGACAGAATCAAGGCAACTGGAAGTGTGCCTTAAGAAGGCACAGACTTCATCAAACACACGTGCCTATATTTCAAGCCCAACCAACTCCTAGAAATCTGCGTCTGGTGGAGCATAATCCCTAAGGAAAGGGGGTTGATGTGAGGAGTGGAAGGAAGCCTAACAATTAACCACGGCTAGTGGGAGCAAACTATAAAAGGGAAGGTAATAAACACAATAGAGGTACACGATCACTTCAACCTGAACCCTACTCTTATCATCTTGCACTTTTGTTTATTTGGTCACTGACTTAGGCATTAGAGGGATCCCAAGTTACTCCAGCCACCCCCTTTCACTTTGTTTTGAGTGTTTTTCAAGTCTGAAGTAAAGGCATAGCCACCACGTCGCCATCGCAGCAGCCCAATGGAGTATTTTTACCCACCACAGATACTATGACAAGAAGGGAAATCCTATGGTGTGCACCCTAAGGGGTGCATACCATATGTATCTTATCACAAAAATGTATAACTTTATCATAAAATTTAATAACATTAACCACAAAATGAGTAAAATGTCTAAAATTTTGTGTTTGATGTTATAAAAATTTGTAACTTAATTATGACCTTTTTTATTATACTAATTTATGTCGAGATTACTCATTTGTAGTTGATATTATAAAATTTTATGATAAAATTATATATTTTATGATAAGGTGCACATCATAACATTTCCTTGACAAGAATAAAAAAGGGGAACTTACCAATAAGTCCTATATACAAAGTTCAAAACCCATCTAATCCCAAAACAAAATACTTGTACCAATTAGTCATACATATTTTTAATTGTTATCAAAAATCTTTTTTTTTAAAAAAAAAAAATTTACAGATGCTGTTACATCCCCACTATCGTCGGACTTCCATCAGACGGTCACCGGAGATTCGTTGGAATGTTCAACATCACCGACAAGTCGCTAGAGTATCACTGGAAAGTTGCCGGAGTATCGCCGGAAGTTCACCAGACTGTTATGAACGCCAATGGAAGTCACCAGAATGTCTAGAACGTTCGCTGGACGTTAAGAACTTCATTGGAGACTCGCCAATATTGCCCCAAAAAAAAAAGAATAAATAGATAAATTAGAGCGAAAAAACATAGCAAAATGTGTTAAATATTGACAAACTAAAAGACAAAATAAATGTAACGACAAAAAACAATAACAATGGGAAAAATATATGTTATTTTTCAATTTTTGTAGGGTTTAAGCAAATAATCTCCAATATTGATCAAACTGAAAAATAAGTTTTGAAACTGTAAAATGTTACAGTTTCAGAGAAAAAATCTATTAAGTATTTATCTTATTAATCAAATTGAAAAATATGCTATGAAACTACAAAATCTTACAGTTCTAAAGAATGTTATGAAACTGTAAAATTTTACAATTTTAAACTATGATTCATTCGAACACCAAAAAAAATTGAAACTGTAAAATTTTACAGTTTTCTCCGCCTGTAACTAAATACTCGAAAACAACTTATTCAGAATTTAAACATTTTCTCTATTAAAACAGAAAAATAGACTTGTGTAACAGAGAAAAGGTAGAAAATTTGAGAAATCGAAGGAAAGAATAGATATGGAAAGAATATTGTACTCCGGCAACTATTTTTGATTTAGATCTAGTCGGATCTCATGTAGATCTACTCATCAGATTTGAGTAGATCTACTCATTTTCTTCGCCGTTGGTGGGGATGATGTCACGAGTTGATGTCGATAGTTGGTGGTTGCCGGTGAACCCCAATCAATGGTGGTCATCGGTCACCGGTGACTATATATTACAAAGAGAAAGAGAATAAGAAAGGTGTGATCACCGGTCATCGTCCATGACAAAGAAAAGGAGAGAAAAACGTAAAGAATGAGGCAAAAAGCAGAGAGAGAGAGAGAGATAGAGAGGAAAAATAAGACTTTTGCGTCTACTCAAAAAGTTATTGGATGAAATAATGTACACATATTTCAAACAGGACCTATGGGCAATTTTCCCAATAAAAAACAGCTAGACTTTTAAAATGGCATGTCTGAGGCCCATTTGAGGCTCATATGGGTCACTTGGGCTTAAAATCATAAGCATAGCAACCTAAATTAAGGAATTAATTTCAATACAAATATAAAACAACTTCGGACAGGGTTGCTAAAATTACATGCACAATAAAGTTTAAAAAAAATTAAAAAAATTAATAAAATAAAATATTACATTCTACATACTAATCAATTATTTTTTCTCATACCCATTTAATCAACTATAAAAAAAAATTTGTAAATCATTCTAAACAAAAAAAAATTCTATTTTGTAAAATAGTCAAAAAAATCAACTAAAATAGCCGAATTCCCAAAACAGGCCCAAGTACCGATCATATTATTTGAATTTCAGAAAATTAAGCTAATTTTTTAAAAAATTAAGTTTTTTGATTTTTGATTTTTTTTTTGTTTTAGTCAATTTTTAATATTTTAAGAGTTTTTTATTTTTATTTTTTAGATGCACCTAACTTAGATAAATTAAAAAGTATAATATTTATAATTTTTTTTTAAAAATTCATCAAATATAAAAATATAAATATAAAAATTTAATATATTTTCATATTTTTATGTATTTATTAAAATTTTAAAATATTTTTTAATAAATATTTTATTTTTTAAATGCATTTAAGTTATGTACATCTAAAAAATAAAAAAATAATTTACTTAAAATATTTTTAAAAATAACTAAAAATATAAACAGGAAAAATATGAAATGCAAAAAGGTAAAATATCATTCTAGGCTTCTTTATGGAATAAATTTCATAAAGACTAATGATTTATTAAAATGAAATGAAATAGAATAAAATATCATTCTTAGACTTCCCTATGGAATCCATTACAATGGTAAATGAAAAAATCCAATCTGAGATGTCCCCGTTATGTTTTGGTGACAATTTTAATGATCGTCTGTTGTGAACGGCAGTCATAGTCACCCCACACAATTTCAGTTTAAAAGGTGACCAGAGTCACCCAAAGGTGACCGGAGTCACCCCACACTGCTTTACTTCAAAAGGTGACGATATAATGATAGAAATCTCGAATTGCCCACCTTTAAATTGATACCCAAAATATTCACCAACACGTACATTGCGTCTCCAAAAATAATCTCTGGAACTCGCAGGGAAGGCAAAGAAGATCGGCGTATAAGTAAAATCGATGCGATTAATTTTATCAGTTACAACGATATATGGATACGGATAATCATCCAATTCTACTTTGCAGCTTTCTTCATCCCCAGCTCTACAATAAACAACTCCCACTTTGAAATATACAATGTGGCCGTATTTCATTGGCCCTACTGACACTTCTACGGAAGACCCTGTTGATTTATGGCTGTAATAATCACGGCCGTAAAAATCGTTATGATCGTTGAAGCTACGCGTATCGAAATAGTCACCCAAGACGAAGAGGGTACGATGGAAGAGGTAACGACCGTTAGGAAGAACCTGTTATATAAATTTCAAATTAGTAGTGCTAGATGAAAATAAAAAATAAAACAAAATAAATTTGCAAATACAAAATCAATTACAAAATCAGTAACATAAAATATAGATAGAATAATTTGAGAGTGAAATTATATATTTTATGATAAGTTTCACTGTTTCATGTGATATGTATGATTAAGATTATGCCAAGTTGATTATTCTGTAACCCCATAATCTAGTTTGAAAATTTTTTGCATCAAAATAGTGGCAAGTTTTAGTTTTATCATTTAGAATTAAAACACTCATCAAAGTTATTTATATTTGAAAAAAGAAGTGCCATATACATCACAAATATTTTTATCATTATTTTGTATTACTGTCTATGTGGATATTTATGATTTGCTCGTTTGTTTAGAGATATTTATAAAAAAATTAATGAAAACAAATAACATATTGTCTTAGAGATGCTATATATGATCAATTATTTATTATTATTGTGTCACCATCTATGTAAATATTTATGAATAATTCCCTTACTTAAAAATGATTGTAAACAGAGTACGTGTTTTACACGGCTGAGCCAAGAAACTTACAATTACAGAACCAATATCCATTTGTTGTTCGTAAATTACAGCAGACTGTTTGTTTTCCGCCAATTAAACTCTTATTAACAAATTAATGCAAACAAATCACATCTTTCCAAGTAGATTGGTGATATAAAAAGATGATATAAACATGTGATATATAATCCTCTAATATATTATCATGTAGCTGGTAATAAAAACACTAAAAAAAACTAGTAAATTCTACTTTTAAAATTGCTACTGCGACATGTAAAAAATTTTGAATAAAAAATTCAATAAGATATTATTTTCCATATATAATATTTCGTATTGGAGGCAACTTCTCTCTAGTCCATTGTTTAAGCCCATGGGCCTATCACAGTCCATATTTCAATAATTTGAATTATTCATTTGAGTAAATTACACTTACCCCTGTACTTTACATCAAATCCCACTTTGACCCCTACACATCAAATTATAACACTTAACTCCCTTGCACTTTTGGTCATGTGTCACTTTGGCTCTTCTGTTAATCTCAATATTAACAGAAGTTAATCACATGAAAAACATGTAAGGATAAATTATACTTTGCACCCCTACACTTTACAAAAAATCTCACTTTAGTCCCTACACATCAAAATTGTGACACTTAGCTATCCCTTAAGCCTCACTATTAACGGAAGGGCCCAATGTGACACTTGACCAAAAGCGCAGGGGGTTAAGTGTCACACTTTGATGTGTAGGGACAAAAGTGAGATTTTGTGTAAAATGCAGGGGTGCAAAGTGTAATTTATCCTATTCATTTTATTAAGAACTTCATTTATTCTATTCACACAAAAATTAAATCGAACCGATAATCATAACTTATTTAATTAATTTATTATGTGTCACTAAAAAAATAGATTATTTATTTTAAAAATACAATTATTATCTATTTTTTATGATAAATTTGATAAATTAAATATATTATAATTATCAAATCGATTTAATTTTAATAAAATAAAATACACGAAATGTCCTATAAAACAAGAGATTTCGAATCACCAAAATAAAATCCGTGATGGACCCATGATGAATTTCACACACCTAAAGAGTGTCCTCCAGTCCACATATACCGGACAGGAGGAAATCCTTCTCCTTTGATATATATATATATAGGTCACATCTAAAATAAATTTGGTTTCACACATTTCACTTAATTTTCAGAGAGATTTTTGTTTTGCAAAATTGTTGCACCAGAGAGAGAGAGAGAGAGAGAGAGAGAGAGAGAGAGAGAGAGAGAGAGAAACAAACCTCAATCTTTTCAAATTGTCGGAAGTTGTTGGAACTGTGCAAGGGACAGATTCGTGCACCTTCAAAATAGTGAGGTTCTTCTATTCCATCATTATTACCATTTGAGATAGTATGCACGACTGGGTCCTTACCAAAATCCATTACTAGAGTCTTCAATTTTGATAGACCGGATATTTTTTCAAGCGATGCACAAAATTTAGCATATACTTTCAATAAATTAGGAAGAAGACCCGTGATAAACTTAAGCCTTCTATAGTTTTTCAAGTTAAGCTTTTCTAGCTTGGATAGATGACTGAACGCATCTGGTAGGATACAAAAATTGTTTCCACGTAAATCCAACGCTCGCAATGAGGATAAATTACCAAAATTAACTGGAAAATCTTCTTCAGACAGATTACAAACACGGAGATCTAGCTCTGTCAAGGAACACCAACCTGAAATAGAGGATGGTAAAAATCTTATGGAGTCAGGATTTTTTCTCTAAAAAACCCAAGATAAACTGAAAGAAAGGCAAGATACAGTTCTAAACAGCCTATGACATCTTTTCAACGATAAGCTCCTGAGGTTCTTAAGTCGCCCAATAGAGAGAGGTAGTTGTTTAATGGCTATTCGATCTGCAAGAAGCTCTGTTAAGCTTTCCAGATCTCCCAATTGCTCTGGAAGCTCTAGTTTTGCGCAACCAGCGAGATTTAGACGCTTAACGAACTTTAACTTGTAGATACTGCCTGGAAGATACCTAAGGTTCGTGCAATCTTTCAAATTCAAGTGAACAAGTTTATCTAGAAGCCCAATTGATTCATGGAGCTCCATTAAGCCTGTACAACCTTCAAGCAGTAATTCCTCAAGCATCGATAGTGCACAGAAGATAGGGCTCTTTGTTAGGCATTTGGAATTACTGATATTTAGAATTTTCAAGCTCTTGAAGTGCTGTTAAAACCAAAAAAAAAAATATAAGAAATTATATAACTTTTTTTTTTAATTTCTTTATGATTCACTACTCAATTGATCCAAATCCCAAACAAGAATGAATTTGCTATGAATGTCATGTACCTTGCCATCTTTCCAGAGTGTTCTAATTTTGCTGAACTGCATGTCTAAAATTACGAGTTTCTCTGAGTGAAAATTGTATGGTAAATACTCCAATGGGTAGTTATGCCAACAGAGCCACCTTAACTCTTTCAATAGATGTTCAAAATTACCACTGAGGTGCACATGATTGATTTGAAGCAGTCTTAAATTATGCATCCCAGTGAATGCTTTATCACTCCATTGTATCTTCTTTACCATGGGTAGTTCGGTCAGGATCACACCTTCCACTGCTTCTGTTCCCTAATATAGCAATATTTAAAAACAAAATTGAAAATTAGAAGGAAGAAAGACTATAAAAACAACTGAAATTAGCATTCCAAGCCAAAAGCTTGCTAACACACTAGAAAGAAAGATTTGACTCTTTACCTTGTTATTTTCAAGTACGTCGCATACATCTTTATGAAACCACAATCTGCTGCGCTTTCCAAGCTCCTTGGGAGATTCTTGACGAATGACTTCCCTTCCCATATCCCGAAGTAGATCATGCATTGTCAACATATTTCGTTCATTAATTTTCAATAAACATCTATCAATCAACACACTAATTCCAACTTCAGCACAGAGATCACAAGTATTCAATATAGTTATGGCACAATCTTTGTCCATTCCAATGAAAAAGCATGCAATATCAAGGAAGATATCCTTCAATTTTTCATCATTTAGTGCATCAAAACTTATCCTGAGTTTTTTCTGAATTTCCTCATAAGGAATTTGTTGTAATTTATCAAATGCACTATTCCATTCTACCAATGGTCTTCCAAACAAATAAGAACCCAAAACTTCAAGAGCTAGTGGAAGCCCTCCAGCATAACTTACTATACCATTTGCAAGATCTGCATAATTTTCTAATGGATTGGTTTCGCCAAAGGCATGCAAACTGAAAAGCTGCAGAGACTCTTTGTGATTGAATTCCTTAGCCATGTATCTTTCATCAACTTTCAGTCCCTTCAACAAGTGCTCATCTCTAGTTGTTATGATGATTCTACTTCCTGGACCAAACAAATCATGATTTCCTGCCAAGGTATTTAATTGGCTTAAATGATCCACATCATCAAGAACAATGAGAACCTTTGTAGAATGGAGGCTTTCTTTCATCAAATTAATTCCTCTGTAAACACTATCAATCTTTAGATTCTTTGTCCCTAATGATTGAAAAAGAAGTTGTTCTACCAATTGAAAAAGGCCATTGGGTTGTTCTACAAATTCTCTAACATTTGCAAGAAAACAACTTCCTTTAAATTGGCAGAAAATACAGTTATACACGGTTGTTGCTATGGTTGTTTTGCCTATTCCACCCAAGCCGTATATCCCAATCATGCGAACATCATCTGATTCAATGCTCAACAATGAATTGATGTCTACAACACGAGACTCTATTCCAACTGGGTGCTTAGCAACATATAGGAATGTCTCTTTCAGTTTACATGAAACCACCTCTTCAACATCTTTTCGGATCAACTCTGCTTCATACCTGTCAATTTCGATCCAAATTAAAAGAAAAGCTATTGTATATTACAGAAATCCAAAACCTTACAAACCTCACTCAAAATATGCAGTTAAGAAATGTAAAATTCAAACATCTTGAACTTACAAAGTGAACTAACTATATTTGATATATATATATATATATATTAAATATTAAAAGCAATAATGATAGGATTTTCTAGTTAAAGATAAAAATTGATAGCAGCAGCAAAATTAAAAGCATGTTAAAACATTACCCATTAGCAACATTTTTCAAATCCCAACCCGATATTTTACCAACTTCAGAGAGGGCAGCTCTCCTAACCTCCACCTTCTCCATCTCATCCCCGTAACGCTTTTCATGTCTTCCAAATGCTTCTCCAAAACACCTTGTTTGGTTCCGTACATCAAATGGATCGACATCGTAGAATATTGGGAGAACTAATTGTCCAAGTGTATTCTTGCATTCAATGATCTTCACGAGCTCATCAAGGCACCATCTGGAAGAAGCATAGTTTGTTGAGAAAACAACGATGGAGATCCTCGATTCTTCGATTGATTTTAGTAGGGCCGAAGATATGTCATGTCCTCTTGGGAGTTCATCATCGTCGATGAAGGTGTGAATTCTAGCTTGAACCAAAGCCGCGTAGAGATGATCAGTAAAGGTTTTGCAGGTATCTTCACCTCTGAAACTTAAGAACACGTCATAGCTCCAGCGAGGTAGTGTTGAAGAAGATGAAGAAGCAAAACGAGAAGAGCCATATAGGGTTCTTGTAGCAGCCATGGATCAACCCAAGATTAGAGATCAAATGAATTGTTGGGAGGAATATAAGTGAGCGAGCGGGGTGACTCTTCAAAAGGTAAGAAAGCGTTATTTGCAAGCACTCCTATCATATGGGCTTTTGATCCTAAAATAACGGAATGCTGAAGAAAGTTAAAATAAAATAATAATAAAAATTTAAGGGGAAAAAATAAAAGAAAGATTAATCTTTGTTGTGGGCAATAAATCTCACCAATGATTTCAAATTCTGGTAAATTTTTGAGTTTTTTACTTGAAATTTGAAGACCCACTATTATATAACACTGTGTTTGGATTGAGTGATTTGGAGAGAAAAGAAAAGAAATAGAGAGAAATGTATTTCTTTTCCTTGTTTGGTTATCTTAAGTGGAGAGAAATGAGAAGAAATAGGGAGAAATTGAGAGAAACCCATTTCTCTTATAACCCTTATTTTCAATCTTCCCAAAAGTGGAGAGATTGGGAGAGAAAAGAAACCCACAAATGTTTATATTTTCATAATACCAATTTTACCCCTGTAAAAATAAAAGAAACAAAATAATTGACACCCATATCCACAAGGCTTTTCATATCCAGCACAAATATTTGTCTGTCCATTTCTCCGCCTCTCTCCTCACTGCTCCAACTCTCTCCACGCTTTCTTCGTCTTCTTGTGCAGGTAATCATCTTGTGTAGCGTAGAGAATATCTCACCTGTTATGTAATCATCTTCGTCTTCTTGTGTTGTATTATATATATATATTCTGTTTATATATTCTGAAATTAACATTTTCATCTGTGGAACAATTTTATATTACATTAGTTTGTTATCCATTTGAATAGAGATGGCAATAGGATAGATTTGTAATGCATTGCCCTGTTTTAGATCATATAACAGGTGAGATATTTTTATTTAAGAATGATGAGAAGTTTACTAAAAATTATATTATATTATAAATAATGATTTATGATTAATAAGATTTAAAAGATATAATATGAGAAGTAAATGAGTGAAAATAAATGTTAAGTGTAAAATTTTAACATTTTAATTTTATTATATTAAAATATTAAATTATATATATTTTATATATAAATAAATATATTTAATAAATATAATTAGAATGAGAAGGGAGGAATAAATTGCCATGGCTTAAATGCTCACTTTCTTTGCTAGTTAAATAATAGTGTTATTCTCTACATTGTGATTGGCACCCTGCACCCATGTCAATTGCTTAATAAGACATAGTTTGTGAATAGTATGAATGTTCTTCCCCCCCTCCCCAAGTATTAAGATTATAAAATTATGCATGCCCATCAACTTGTAGTGCAGTAAAACTTTCAAAGCATGCCACTTTTAATTTACAATTTAAAATTCCTGATTTGGCCATTATATGATTATATGATTGATTTATAACACATTAGGAAAGAAATTTTAAATATTTTAATTTTTTCCTTTATTCATTTGAAATCAATGTTGAAATGGAAAAAAATTATTCCTAACGATTATGGATCAACAAGATGTATACAAAGAGCTAAGACAAAATTTATTTCTTTTAGTCAAAATGTATACTGATTTATTTTAATAAAAAATATAGGATAAATGGATCAGCAAAACAAAGAGCTAAGAAAGGACTTGATTATGTGGGATAAAAGGCGAAAGTTAGCTGTTGTTCAAGTTGTTTGCCATGTGGTATATTGGTATATGCAGAGAAAATATCATCTTAGGAAGTACGTGGACCATCCTATTAATTACTTGGAGAGAGAAAAAGTGAGGATTGAGTTAATGACAAAACTTAAATGTATTAAGTATTGTCGTAATATCACCCGTATGGGCCACAAGCATTTCAAGATTTGTGTCATTACTAAAGTTGAATGCAAAGTCATGATATCATTAGAGTCATGCACCTATGAAAAAATATGAAATTTTTTTCTCAAAATTGAATGGAAAAAAAAAAAAAAAAAAAGAGAAGTGAAGATTAGAGATGCTCTTATATAGTGACAAAATATAAAACGGTTATTTTAGTAATATAACATAAAACAGTTTCTTTTCTTTTCTCTTATGAAATCTAACCAAACAAGAAGGAGAGAAATCACAATCATTTCTTTTCTCTTATTTCTTACTTATCCAAACAAGAAGGAGAGAAATTACAATCATTTTTTTTCTTTGCTTTTCTCTTATTACTTAAGTAATCATTTCTTTTCTTTTCCCTCCTAGGTTCCCAAACATAGCGTAATAGTCAACCAGTAAACACTCCATCTTTCTCTTATGTTTCCTACCTCTTTCTCTATTTCTGGAATCCAAAGATGGCGGTCGGTGTCGGTCGGGTGCAGTGAACAAAATAGTTACAAATCTGATGCTCTGCCTTCTACTTGTGTTCGTTGATGATGAAGAGTGTCTGACGGTGATGAGTTCGACAAAAATATTGAAGATAATCAAGAGAGGAGAGATTGATGAGAGGAGACAACCATCGTAAGAGATTAGAAGTGGAAAAAGAAATCTGTAAGTGGGGAAAAAAACAATGAAAGAGACGAGGAAAAAAAACCAGACGAGACAAAAATCTCAAAAGCATTGAAAGAATATTGGGAGATGAGGAAGAGAGAGAGATGAAAAGTCTCAAATGTATTGAACGAACGAGAGAGAATGTGTGTCGGTGGATGAGGGTGAGGTATAAAGATCACCAACATCATATATGTATATGTATATATATAATATGACAGATGGATTTGTGAAAAACTATAAGTTTTAAATTTCAAATTTGTAAAAATTATTTTCAAAATATACACTCAAATATCTATATCATGGTCCCATTTGAAAAGTTGGTTATTTTAATAGGTTATTTTAATTTTTAACTATTTTAGGGTTAATTTGGAAACTTGGCTAAAAGTTAATTGTTGACTTTTAACCTATTTTTGGATCATCTCTCTACTTTTTTACATGTTTTTTTTTTAAAAATAAAAAAAAAGCCAAAAAAAACTAACTTTTAACCAATTTTCTAGAGCAACACTTAGTAGGTTAAAATTTTTGTGTTTTGGAAGATGGTGTAGACGCGCCCGTGGGCCTCACTACAGTTCGGACTCAATTTGTGTCACGGTTCTTAATCTGAACCAAAGAGTCCAAATCCGGCGAATCGTTTTGAGAAACAGATTTTTGAAAAGAAGTGCCAAACATGGACTGCTTTGCCAGATACAGAGTCGCCACCTAAATATTTTATTTTGGGGGAATTTAGGAAACCCTGACTCGGTGCCAAAGGCCACGTGTTCGTCATCACCAAAGTTGCCTCGGCTCGGGAACTTGGGTATGATTGGGGAAGGTCAGCTATGAGCACCCCCTCTCACCCGATCCGAAGATCGGCCTCTACTAACCATGATATCCGTTTTTGAAAACGTTATGTGTTCTTAATCCGGTTATTAGTCTAGAATTACTATGTTATGCGCACAGCAAACAAGTATAAACCAAATCGCCTAAATTGGAACAAAACATTTCATGCTTGTTTTGAAAATGGTTTGCTACTCGCAAGTAGGCTAAAATGCAGGTTTTGCCACCCTCGAGTGGGCTTTTAGAAAAGATGATTTTGCCACTATCTAGTGGGCTTAAAACTCACAGTTTTAATGCATTATCCCAATTTAGGTAATTTAACCTCCATCCACAGGCATTCAAGCAGTTATATCACATAAGCAGCTAGCCTCATGGTAATCATGCTGTTATGGCAACACTCACATGCATGCGGTATGCTAAAGCATAAATGCTTACCGAGTACTCCAAGCCAAAACAAAAGCTAGTTAGTAATCCTATGCATGATCCTAGTTCATGTTAAGATGGCTAATGCAACACATGCAAGATGCAACTAAGATAGGCTCGGCTAACCTATAATGACATGTGAAATGCTACAATTAACACGTATTCAATTTGGAATTGAAATACAAATGCAGTTAGAATGATGCGCCGAGCCCGGTGCATGCAGGACAAATGTATGAATGCACGCATGCATAGCATAAGGTGTGCTAATTTAAATATGCTCTAGTCCACCATCATAAGCGGGTAAATAACAGGGAAGAAAGACGTGGGGCTGGAAGACATACACACACTCACGCACACTCACGCACACTCATTACACAACTGCCCTCACTCGGAGGGTCCAAATAAATATTACAGTCCGAATAAATAATACTAAATTAATTATTACAAAATTTCTAATCTAATTAACAAATTAAATGCAAAGAGGGGATGGCCGCAGCCCTCGCCTCGGGATGCGTGAATGATGCATGCTCGGATTTATCTTGCCCCGAAAGCCCATACCATACAACTGCTGCCTCTGTTTACACTGCCCTGCTTCTCTGAAAACTTCCAAAATCCTGGGACAGGTTCCCTGAACGCTGTAGGACACCATCGGCTAAAGGGAATGCCCACCGGCCATGGAACTTATCCATCGGCTGGGGTTTCATATTATCGGCCACCAATCCACGGCCGGTCGGCACTCTACAGTGTCGGTCGGCAAAAACTTCTTGCAGAAACTGGTTTTTGACAGCAACAAGGACAGACAGTGTATGGCATGGGATTTCAAGCAAATGTATGCGCGGGCACACTCCCTATCATGCAAGGGACTCAAGGGAGCATGACCCTCGACCCTCGGGCCATCAATCATGCATTTTGATGCGTGATGGCCTAAGGAGCCAAGGTTGCAATTCAATGAAAATGCATGCAACATATAAATGAATACCAAAAACCCTATCATGCCAAAGTCAAAGGCCTCAGTGACCGAGGGTCGAGACGCGTTACATCACTTGTAGTATGAACGCTTCCGCCCCCCCTCACACTTGGTTTGACACCCCAAACCAAGCAATGCAATGCATGTTATGCAAACATGGCCCGAAAATGCAACATATCAGTAAAATGCAAAGCATGCCAAATGCAATGCAACATATCATGGCAAGCATGCAATGTTCCTAACATGCAATGCTACAATGCAACTCATCACGTAATGCTAATATGGTACAAAGCAAGCATGCGATTAGAGGCAACAAGTCAAACATACAACCATGTCCAAGAAGGTACTTAGACTGAAATGGGAGGCCTCAAACACCCCCAAAAACAGTGGCTAAAAGTGCCTCAAGTGATGGACAAAATGCACTACAAAC